GATTTTCTCTTAATGAGGGTTGTGACTTCTGAAAGAGATAGTGGCTGGTACATTTGTAGTTTGCTGCTGCCTTCATTTGCTAAAGCGTCATCTCTTTTCTTTCGTTTGATGACACAATGAGAAGGAATCCAGTGCAGGTGAGTTTCTGCCATTTTTTTTATAGCTCAGCAAGCTCCTTAATCATCTAACAAAGTAACAATGCTCCAATTTATGCACAGCAAACAGCCAATATGTGCGGGGAAATGGATAATCAAATCCAGGTGTGAGGCACTTGAAGAAGAAAGACAGTATTACATCTGCAATATGTTTGATTTTGCGGATACATGAATAAAATATAAATATTCAGTAATCAAAACAGTGTCTTGCCTTTAAAAAATTCTTGAAAACATATTAAACATTTACATTCTTACGATACAAACTCAAACAATTGTGGTTATACATTAAATATATATATATTAAAGAAATGCTTCAGTATCCTATTTTTAAAATCTTTTTTTTTACTTCATTCTCAACCCATTATTGTATCAACCCAAAGCTTTTCAAGTTGTGTTGCAATACAGAAGTAAGTCAGCTGCAGTGTGAAGGTGTGCCACATGAACATAAATCATTAAACAGAATAATCAGTAAATGTATGGTTTTGCAAACTGCTGGTTTACTAGTATTAGTATTAGTAGACTAAATTATTGTGTCGTAAAATTATGTTTGTCTTAAACAATGTGTAAGCAACATGCAAATTTTTGGAAGCTCTGTATTAACCCATCCAAGCTAGAACAAAGACCTCATCCAAGACAGGTGTTTGTTTGAGATGGTGAAGCTGCAGAACTACTTTTATGATAGAGAGTTATGTATAACCACGGCCTTCTCTATTTATGTACAGACTGACCTGGTATAACACAGATAGGAAACAAGATGGCCACCAGAGAGGAAAAATAATCACAATACTGTAAATGTATTTCGTTGTTACATTTGTGTAAGCTGCCTGGCCAAAATATTACATTGTGTTGTTTTGTGCACGTTTTTCTGCTTCCCCATTTTGTTGAGCTTTTTAGTCAAATTTCTCTTTAATTCCTTGTATTAGCTTGACTGCAGTCACCCCCATATTTTCACTATAACTGTATACAAACTTTACTTATAACTGTAGCAATGCTATCACTGTTTGGAAATTATTTAAATTTGACAGTGATAACATAGTGTAAAAAGTAAATTTATGGCAGAGGATACATATTATAAGAAAGTTAATTTACTTTTATACATTTCTAATTAAATTTTTTAAGACCCTCATTATATTCTTTTTTTGATTTTAATAATTATTACCATCAAAACATGTAGTAAGACAGCATGAATATAACAGTAATACCCTTTTCAAAAACTTTGTAACAGTTTTTAGTATACAAGTAGGTAAAGGATCCTCTTCCATGCTTTCAGGTGTACTGGGCATATAGGGCTAGACCTATATTTTAAAGACCGATTGGCACTCAGTAGGTGATGTGGTAAACATTACTCTGACTGCCTTTACTTCCCAGGAATTCACCTGGTATCCATTCAAGTTTGAGTCGACTTGGGAGTCGAGGACATTTTTGAAAAAAAGTCCAGCTTCAACAGGACCTGAACCCATGATCTTTAGACTCTCAGGCAAGCATCTAGCCACTACACCATGTCGGTTCCCAGATTTTTAGAGTAGTATCCTTAATCGGCGCATCATGCGTTCATTGGGCTTCTAGGTAGGAACATGTGAACGTATGATGCGTTCCTTGGGACTCAAAGAGTTAATGTTTTGTTTCGTTGTTGCTGTTTTTTATCATACTCTCAGAATATTTAATAAGACAGTACAATTAACATATCATCATAATGTGCCCTGAAACTGGCATAGGCACTCATGCGTCTCCACAGATCACGATCCCTGGTTGCCTGGAACAGCTCTCTTGATGATATCCCTCCATTCCATCATTTCAGCCCATCCAGCATCATCTCTCTTGGTCTGCCTCTACCCCTTTTTCCACTGATCTTTCCAGTTGTCACAATGTTCTACAATGTCTCTCTTCTCATTAAGTGGCCAAAGAACAGTGTTTGTCTCTTTCTTATTGTTATATATAGCGATTTACTTTCATTAACTTCTTTCAAGCAATTGTTGTTACTTATTCTGGCCGTCCAAGGTATTCGTAACATTCGTCTCAGAAACCGCATCTCTGTTGCTTCAAAATTCTTCCTAATCTGTTCACTGACATTCCAAGATTCACTGCCATACTGCAGAACAGGTTCTATGTAACATTTTAGCACCCTCTTTATGACATTAAATGAGAGCGATTTATTGCTTAAGATATTTTTCATTTACAGTTATCACACAACAATACAATTATCATAAGACAGTGCAATTATTAAACTACAGTCATTTATTGCCGCCAGTATTTATCTCTTCTGCTGTGTAGACAGGAGGCTCTTTAAGCCTGAGAATATACGGTTGCACATCTAGAGCCTTCGCCATGCACTGTGCGGATTAGGATTTGTTTTTGTTGTTGTTGTTGTTGTTGTTGCTCCGAACAGAATAAAACCTCAGAATCAGACTGAGGATTTGAACCTGGGTCTTCGCATGAGAGCTTGGCATTCTTAACCTTTTGACCAGCCGCTACCATAAGATACAAATATTGAGAAGACAATATAATTAAGCCACTTAGGACACTTTATATGTTAAAGTAACTGATAATAATAAAATGGTATAAGGCTGTATTATTACTATTACTGTTGTTATTATTATTATTATTACTATAATTACTATTATTAGCTAATCATGTAGGAAGGTGATACTACTGGTTTTTAATTTACCATTTACAATTGACTTCACTGCAAACTGTACTAATACATATGACATTAGGCAGTATAATATAAAATAATATAAGGCAGTATTATCATCATCATCATCATCATCATTATCATTATCATCATCATTATCTTCATCATCATAAGCAGCAGCAAAATATTTAGGAAGGCAGTTAATGCTTTTTACAGTTGATTTTACTGCACTATGTTCAAATATATTAGTGCTCAGTCTACTTCACCAGATGCTAGTGTTATAGGCTACATACCAGCATGGCCACAAGCAGCCTCTAGGAACTAAAAGCTGGACTACAAGACAGGCAGCCACTAGAAACTAAAGGCTGGACTACAAGACAGGCAGCCACTAGGAACTAATGGCTGGACTACAAGACAGGCAGCCACTAGGAACTAAAGGCTGGACTACAAGACAGGCAGCCACTAGGAATTAACGTCTGGACTAAAAGACAGGCAGCCACTAGGAACTAAAGGCTGGACTACAAGACAGGCAGCCACTAGGAACTAAAGGCTGGACTACAAGACAGGCAGCCACTAGGAACTAACGGCTGGACTACAAGACAGGCAGCCACTAGGAACTAATGGCTGGACTACAAGACAGGCAGCCACTAGGAACTAAAGGCTGGACTACAAGACAGGCAGCCACTAGGAACTAAAGGCTGGACTACAAGACAGGCAGCCACTAGGAACTAAAGGCTGGACTACAAGACAGGCAGCCACTAGGAACTAACGGCTGGACTACATGACAGGCAGCCACTAGGAACTAACGGCTGGACTACAAGACAGGCAGCCACTAGGAACTAAAGGCTGGACTACAAGACAGGCAGCCACTAGGAACTAAAGGCTGGACTACAAGACAGGCAGCCACTAGGAACTAAAGGCTGGACAACAAGACAGGCAGCCACTAGGAACTAAAGGCTGGACAACAAGACAGGCAGTCACTAGGAACTAAAGGCTGGACTACAAGACAGGCAGCCACTAGGAACTAAAGGCTGGACTACAAGACAGGCAGCCACTAGGAACTAAAGGCTGGACTACAAGACAGGCAGCCACTAGGAACTAACGGCTGGACTACAAGACAGGCAGCCAATAGGAACTAAAGGCTGGACTACAAGACAGGCAGCCACTAGGAACTAAAGGCTGGACTACAAGACAAGATCTGCTCTATACTGCAGATTTGATCCAGAACATGGATGCTGGAGTCTGGGATGTAGAACAAGATAAACCGCCAATGTGTTTAGTTCAAGCTGTTAGGACTAACTGAATAAAATATTGTTAGAAAGGACAAAAGAACTAACAAACTTTTTTTTAAAGGTCACAATTTGGGTACACATGCCAATCTTAAGAAAGAGAGAAAAGAGACAGAAAGGAGAGAGAAGAGAGGGAAGAAGATAGCATGAAATAGAGAGGTGCAAATCTTTAGGCCAGCAGGGAAGTGTTTGGCCAGTACAGCACTGCAGATGACATAGACACCATAGTTTGATGCTATTTATAATGATGACACTAAAAGCTCTTGAATTAAAACAAACAAACAAACACACACACACACATGCGCGCAATGGAAGTTACTATTTTGGGATAAAGTAAGTAGTGATTTTCTTATTTTGTATCAAACATTCAATCCGTATATCGAAATAAAGAAGAAACATGAAAAGAAAGATGAATACAAGCAACTGCTAAAGTTGAGTACAAGCAACTGCTAAAGTTGAGTACAAGCAACTGCCAAAGATGAGTACAAGCAACTGCCAAAGATGAGTACAAGCAACCACTAAAGATGAGTACAAGCAGCTACTAAAGATGAGTACAAGCAATCACGAAAGATGAGTACAAGTGACTGCTAAAGATGAGTACAAGCAATCACGAAAGATGAGTACAAGTGACTGCTAAAGATGAGTACAAGCAATTGGAAAAGATGAGTACAAGTGACTGCTAAAGACAATTCATGAGTTAAGCACTCAGCACATTTCCATATACCCTCTGTCCCTATCTTTAAAATCAAGTTCAAAGTTACAGTTCCAATGGTGCCAATAACGGTCTGATTGTATGTCCGTCTCCCTGTTTCCCTGATTGTATGTCCCTCTCACTGTTTCCCCGATTGTTTGTCCGTCTCACTGTTCCCCTGATTGTATGTCCCTCTCACTGTTTCCCTAATTGTTGCGAAAGATGAAAATATGTTAGTGCATATGTGGAGCAAATGTGTGTAGCTGCGAGATAAAATCTCTGGCAACAGTTAGGGACATGGTGGGGTCCAAATGAATGTCCAGAAACATCCGTGTTTGCCAGGGAGGCATGGAGACCCCAACTCGAAGCACACGAGAGTTGATGGACCTTGTCATTGGTGGGGTGGACACCCATCTGCCTGCCATCTGCAGAAAAGTGTTAAAAACATTTATAAGTGTTTTTTTTTAACATGAAAAAAATATGGTGTATATTTGTTTCCCTAAACAAAATGGAAAATCGTAGGTTTTGTAATAAAGTTAGTTTCGTATCTTTTGCAGGTCGTTACAATTACAGACCTAACCCCAGCATTTATTGGCATCGTGGTTTTATAGGCAACTTCTACGTTCAATAGTTTGCCATTGCCTCTGAACGGTATGCTCTCGGTACCACTGTCGAAACCAGCGCAAGACAAATCATCCGCAGATGGGATCGAACCCAGCACCCTGGCAATACGAAGCTTGTTTGCTACGCCTACGCCACAGATGCCGACGTCTGTGAGTGGTTATTAAGTCACCAACGTATTATCAGGGTCTCCCTGGCGAAGTGGTCAAGCCGTATGCCTTGCGTTCTGAAAGTCGTGGGTTCGTTTCATGGCTCCGTCGTTAATTCCACAAGTGCAATTTTTATGGGGATTGTCGCCGGAGCTACGGAGTGCGTGCTCTGTGCGATGCTCTTATGTAGCCGTTCTATGGAGAGAGACTGAGCTATATGGGATTTTATTTTACTGGTGCGATGAAGTCAATCCTCTCTTAACCTTTAACCTAAACCAGGGTCCATTAGGAATTTTAAAAACAATATTGCTTTTTCCTGCATTCACCCTTAACTTGCCAGTTGGCACATGCTGATATGGTTTAAAGTTAGGCTACAATAACGGCTCTTTTCAGAGCAATGAGTTCCCAATACATCTGATTTAGGGCAACTCATGATTAGTCGCCTTTTATGTCATGTGTGTGAACAAGCACTGGGTCTCCCCCCCCCCCTCCCTCAACCAACTCAAAAAATGGGCCCCCAGAACCCACATGACAAAGAATACTACAGGGTTCAAATTCTGACGAAGGCTGGTATTTTTTTTTTCACGTGCGCTTCTAGTAATTTCCCCTGGTCTTTGGGTAGTAAGACCGGATGCCCTTGTGTATTGTTGCGCACGTAAAAAAGTCCTTGGCAGTTGGAAATGGAAAAAGAGTAGCTTAACGGCACTCCCCGGACAAAATTTGGAGTTAAAAACAAATCCACCCAAAGTATTTCAGGATCCTCGCCGGTGCAACGGAGTTTGTGCCCTGCGCTGAGATTCTTCAGACTCAGGCTTGAGTTAGAAGTAGAACAGAGCACACTCGTGTGCCATGATGTTGATCCTTTGAATAAAGAAACAATAAACAAACAATATATCTAGAATAAGAATGCCTCCCTAAAAACCTACCCCAAGACATCCACAGCATCCAGACTCCTTGGTGATCTTCGTCTGTGCCGCAGTTCCGGTGGCCACCTCCATTTCTGCACTGTGGAAGTTGTTGATCGGGATGTTTTTGAATGTGATGGTACTGCGCTTGGACACCTCCAGCTTGTAGCCAGGCTTGTTGAGTGTCTTCTTGTTGGAGCTAGACTGTTCAAACTGTTCCAGATTCGCATCTACAGTTATAGAAAATTGTTTACTTGGCAACAATTGTTTACATGGCAACGATTGTTTACATGGCAACGATTGTTTACATGGCAACGATTGTTTACATGGCGTAGACGTTCATATATCTCCACAGATCTCGGTCTTTGGTGTTCTGGATCAAGTCCACTGATGATATTCCTCCATGTCACTGTCTCAAGCCATCCACCATCATTTCACTTGGTCTGCCTCTTCTTCTTCTTCTACCAGTGATCTTTCCAGTCCTCACAATATTTTCCAGTGCTCCTTTTCTCATCACATGACCACTGAACCTTGATTGTCTTCTTCTCATTGTTGTATATATGTTCTACTTTCATTAGCCATTTCCAAGCAATCATTGTTGGTTATTCTGGCAGTCCAAGGTATTCGCAACACTCTTCTCAAGAACTCCATCTCTTTTGCCTCCAAACTCTTTTAAATTTGAAAATGGATCAGGATATTAAAAATTACCCTGAACAACCTGCATGAAGGCAGGGGATATCAAACACCGCAGTTTTGACAGGCAAGTCCACGCTGACTATATCAGTGAAGTTCTACATTTTCATACTAAGTCTTCAGTGATCTCTGAATGATTGTTTACATGGCAATTATTGTTTCCATCATACTAAATGTTTATGGGACAATGATTGATCACATCACACTAAATGCTTACATGACAATGATTGTTTATATGACAATGACTGTTTCCATCACACTACATTTTTTACATGACAACGTTTTTTTTTTTTTACATGACAACGATTGCTGCCATGTCAACGATTGTTTACTTGACAACGATTGCTGCCATGTCAACGATTGTTTACATGACAACGATTGCTGCCATGTCACCGATTGTTTACATGACAACGATTGCTTCCATGTCAACGATTATTTGCATGACAACGATTGCTTCCATCACACTAAATTCTCGGTAAGGCCCGATAGTATAGAGGTGTTAACCCTTACCCCCCCCCCCCCCCTCCGGACTTTACCGAAAAATTCCCCAAGAAAGTGTCCTTGAGATGGGTTAAAATTAAAAGAACCGCAGAAACAGAAGCACCAAGCACGTTAACAATCAGGCAACACAATAAATAACGATAATATCAAGAATGGAGATCATTGATGAAGGCAATAAAGACACAAATATATATATATATATATATATATATATATATATATATATATATATATATATATATATATATATATATATATTTATTTATTTTTTTTTTTGACAAAGTTTAAACAAAGTTTTTTTTTTGCCACCCAAATGTGTATTCTGTAGGATTAACATCTCAAAGATGAGAATAACACAGCTACAAATCCTGGAAACACATTTCAATCGTATACAGCTGTTATATTGGGACCCCACAAAACAGTTCAGCAGTTATATTGGGACCCCACAAAACAGTTATGAAGCAACCTGTAGTCAAGTGTAGGTGGGTTGATGTGTCATAAAAGAAAAGGGATCTTCGCATTTACCTTCTCGCCTCTCCTGTTTTGCCTAGTAGGTGTACGACAGGCTAAGTACTTAGATACAAAAGACCCCAACCTTCCACAATTTGGCTAAAAAAGAAAACAAATTCACGCGCCCGACACAGCACACAGATTTTGATCGCAGTTACCTGTGTACGTTTCCGTCGACAGAAATAAGGCTCGCTTGTTAGTGAGTCCGATTCTTCCCCTTCCATAAGGTTCCCTCAAAGCTCTGGCTCCCTCCACATCCAGGAACTGCACGTGCGTGTAGTACAGCCAACAGCTGCCCAGCAGGAACCGCTCACCATCAACCAACATACCTGGCAGGTGAGAGAGACAGACAGGCACAGATAACCTGGTAGTTACAACACGATAGCATGATAGCGCTTCACAAATTATCTCCCTCGGGTAATTTTTCTTCCAACGTAATGCTGATAGTGTTTTGTGTCTTAGCTCATTATATGACACAAGCTGTTGAGAGCCGAATATTTCAGGAGTACGAGAACGTGGGAGCTAAGCAGTGGCGATCAGTTCGCATGTGTAAGCGTTAACAGGTAACGATTACACTGGAAAGGGTGTCAGGTGATATTTTCCTCCTCGCCGATTCGCTGTTGAGAGACTGCGCTGCACAGCTAGCAAAGACGTTATGGTAACTGGTAGCGTCCACACGTTACAGTTACTGCATGAGGGGTGTGAGCATGCAGCGAGCTTTTAATTTCGTTATGTTCGAGACGTAAACTGAGGTAATATGCCCTGGCATAATTTATAGACTCCCACTTGGACTGAGTTCTGTATTTAAACAAGGTACAGTAGTCTTGGGATTACATGGAAGCAGATTTCAGGTTTCTTCTAAGCGTTAACTGGCTGTAAACTTCGACGGAAAGGGTTGGTTGTTTGTCCACTTCTGGACATTAGGCAGTATGATACTGATTTAAAATGATGTAAGGCAGTATTATTATCATCATCTTCATCATCATCATCATTATTTACAAAATATTTAGGAAGACAGTTAATGCTGTTTACAGTTGACTTCACTGCACTCTGTTCAAATATAAAAATGCTCAGTCTACTTCAGCAGATGCTAGTGTTATAGGCTACATACCAGCATGGCCACAAGCAGCCTCTAGGAACTAAAGGCTGAACAACAAGACAGGCAGCCACTAGGAACTAACGGCTGGACTACAAGACAAGCAGCCTCTAGGAACTAAAGGCTGGACTACAAAACAGGCAGCCACTAGGAACTAAAGGCTGAACTACAAGACAGGCAGCCACTAGGAACTAAAGGCTGAACTACAAGACAGGCAGCCACTAGGAACTAAAGGCTGGACTACAAGACAGGCAGCCACTAGGAACTAAAGGCTGGACTACAAGACAGGCAGCCACTAGGAACTAAAGGCTGGACTACAAGACAGGCAGCCACTAGGAACTAAAGCTGAACTACAAGACAGGCAGCCACTAGGAACTTTTCCGGAAAAATCAGAAAACGTGGCGCCAGCCAACAATGAATTAGCCATACATGTCGTATTGTAGGAAAGATAGTTGAATTCGTCATCGCTCATCAAGAACAACATTGAAGAAATAACAACCAACTTATTCAAAACATTAGAAAAAGCACATAAATTATTCTTAAATTTCCTTTAGATACTTCGCTGAAGTAACGGGAAAAGGGAAGAAGAAGAAGAAGCAGAACAAGCATGTCATAAAAATCGACTCATTACGGCTGTATCCTGCGAAGTTGGAGTACATCTGCCTAAGAGGCAGTCTCCTTACATTCTTCTTCTTCTTCTGCGTTCGACATCAGTCATGCTAAACATTGAGTCCCGTCTGGGTCACAAATAGGATTGTGCGTTTAAGGTCGCCACCGGTCCCCCATAGCTTCTCTCGCAATGTGGATCCTCTGGGCCAGATCCACAGTCTTTGCTGGGAGAGGTAAGGGCAGTACTGCAGTCTTTCTGCTCCACAAACAAAGGCAGCAGACTCTTCTATGCCTATTCTGTACAGGTGTGCTCGAAGACCACAGAGTCCAGTCCGAAGTCTAAAAATTGATATTTGTTCTTTCCTGTTGAGTTTGTTTATGTTGTCACTCTCTGGTCTGTAATCTCCATTCTGCCTTCTCCACTCCCGCTTGAAAGACTGCTTTAGCGCTGTTTTGGTTTCCTTGTAGCTGTATGGTGGATGAGGTTGTGGAAGATTACTCCCAGCTTTTGCCAACTCATCTGCTCTCTCATTTCCTTGAATACCACAGTGGGCTGGTATCCACTGCAAGACCAGTTCTGCTTCCTCGGAGAGTAAGCCAATGTTGGTCCTTAGATCTACCATTAGTTTGTCTTGATTTCTGCTTGATAATGCTTGGAGAACAGACAATGAGTCACTAAGTATAACAATTTTGTGCCCTCTGTGTAAGAACACAGAGTGATGAGATGTTGGACTGCAGAAAGGAGGGCAGTTGCCTCAGCTCTGAAGTTAGTGCAGATGTCACCTGCTGGTAGAGAGAGTTTCTGCTCTACTGCTAGGGGGTTTAATGTATATTCCACAACCCCTCTTTCTGACTGCATCTATAGCAGAGCCGTTGGTGAAAACCTGAGTCCAAGTAGTGTTTGGATATTTCTCATCAAGCATTGCAAGAGCCAGGGTTCTCTGTTGTGTCTCCGTCTGGACATATTTTAAAGTGATCCCTGGCACCTTTAGAACTACATTTGCCTTCTCTGTCTTGCTTGTCCATGGTTCTGGCCTAAGTTTTTCGTACAGTGCAACATCTCTTTCAAGCAGATCTTGGTGCTGTCTGTACAGTTCTCTAGCAAGGTGGTTGGGGCTCTGACGCTTCAGTCGGTTTTTTGTTCTCTCTTGAAATTAAAAATGCAGTGGGTGACTTTGAAGTCTTTTTAATTTCTCATACTGTAAAAGAGTTTTGTATTGTCTTCTGAGTTCGAGTGGTTCAGTATCTGCTATCCTCTCTATCTCTCTGATGGGTATGGTTTTCATGGCTCCGAGAACAATCCTTAATCCCATATTCTGAACCTTGTCCAGTATTCCCATTGTTGTCTTGGCTGCTGCAGCCCATGCAGTGGAGGCATATTCCATGACTGGCCTGACTGCTCCAGTATATACTTGTTTTAGGATTCTGGAGTTAGCGCCCCATGTGGTACCCACTAATTTTTTCATCACTGCAAGCTTCTTGAATGCTTTCCCCTGTACTGCGTATACGTGTGACTTCCAAGTTAGTCGCGAATCAAGTGTAACGCCAAGAAAGGCAGGAGTATGCTTACAAATAAAGCACATCTGTAAAACTGATGTGCACGCAAAACCTTAGTTCTGGGGCAAGATTAAAGTCCGGAAGTGAATGAACAATCAGAACTTTCCGCGGGAGGTGACAGCCTGTGGACGCGAAGAGCTAGAAGATAACAAACTAGTAGTTTTTTTTTAGAATAGCCAGTACATATTTTAACCAAGTTACCACAGACACAGAACCCGGTCTGCTTTTTTAAATCACCTTCATGTAATTATCAGCCAGCTCTCATATCGCAGTGAAAGTACCTGACATTTACATTATACCATGTTACACATAACTAACGTTTAGTAATTGCTCTATTTTCCCTAATGTCAGAAATGAGTTTCCTATTCTGGTTTCTCATTTCTATAATTTGCAAATCACAAGGTTGTTTATACGGGAATGTGAATAACTTTGGATTCGTTGAGAACACAGGAATAACTTGAGTAATCAATTTACCAGTATTTATTGGCGTTTATTCAATCAATCAATCAGGTGCCGTCTCCACAATGAAGGTTGGCTGCAATGGATCTCCAACAAGCCCTGTCTCTTGCCCTTGATGTACACTCACTCATACTGCTGTTCGTCCATCTCTTGATGTTATCCTCCCAATTGTAACGCTGTCTGCCTCTTGCTCGCCTACCTTGAACCTTTCCCTCTAGGACGATCTTTACAATACTGTTATGTCTTTTAATGTGGCCAAAATATTTCACTTGTCTCTTTTTTATTTCACCTAGCAACTCTCTTTTCATTCCCAATTTCCTCAGTACCTCTGTATTTGATAGCTTTTGTTTCCATTAAATACGACCTAATCTTCTGTATATCCACATCTCCAAAGAATTGATACGTTTTTCCAGTTGTTTGTTCATTGTCAATGTCTCTGTGCTATACAGTAAGGTTGAGAATACATAACATTTGACAATTCGCGTTTTTAATGCATTGCTTATTTCTCTTGATGTCAGTAACTTTTGCATGTTGTTGAAAATGTTTTTGGCCATCCCTATTCTTTTCTTGACTTCTGTTTCACTTCTGCCGTCACATGTTTATTAGAGTCACAGAAAATGAAACAACAATTAA